TTGGCGTACTAACAAAAAAAATTCCTTGCAAAATTTTGGTATAATGCCGGCTACTAACCCTAACCCTAACCCTAACCGAGATGTCACATTTTGAACGAAAGGTGATATGTAAATTGGTGCGAATAATCCCAGCCAATCGAAACTCTGGGGGGAAATTAGTAAATGCTAATTTTACTAATTTCCAGACTGGAAACAGGAGTAAATAATATTAGGCTTTTAAACTTAAATTTTATTTAATATTTGATTTATGGAAATATTTTTAAAAAAAAAAGAGAATTGGTGTAAAAATACCAACGAAAAACTAAATTTTGTGCTTCCAGCAAAAATACATTTTTTTTTTTGTCAAACCGTACTGTTTTTCTAAATAAGCATTAATGATTGCTGATCACTGTTTGTCTTTTAATTGCGTAAATAGTTAAGTGCGATTATTTATCTTCCCAAACCGGGAAAATTTTTCTTTATTCAAACTTAAACTCATTTTACAATAAAAGATTTTTATTAAACTTATTCTAATCAGGATAATGCGTTTCTTCTAGTGCCTTCGCCAAAAAAGCAAAAAATTATTAAAAGTATATGCACTGCTTCATTTTATCTTTCAAGCAGTGATGGGCAAAATCTCACGCGCGTAATTCGCGTAATAGAGATTACATTTTGGGTTTCTTAAAAATTATGTTAATGGGGCTGGTTGGAAAATCACGCGCGTGATCCAAAAAATTACGCGCATGCCCATCACTACTTTCAAGGAAAGAATCTAATCCTTTTTTTTTTTTCTGATACTATTATAGAGAGGACTGTTACTCTTTACGCGGGCAAAGGCATTCCTATTGGATTTAATCAAATTGTAGATCGAGGTTTTGATAAAACTCATTTGATCTCTGAATTTCTTGAATCCATTTCGATTGTTCTATAATTGTACGACCAAGAAGATTTGGAAAGACGACTAATATTTCCATGCTCAGGAATTTCTTTTCTATTCCTAACTATCCAGACAACATTGACTACTGGCGTGAATTGTTTAAAGGTACCAAAGTTATGGAATCATATGGGTGAAAATCTCCAATTTCGTGATGATTTAACGTGAGTGATTGGCAGGGTTGTAAACAGTAAGTTAACATCGGTAAATTACAGGTAAGTTACCGAATTACTGCGGTGTTAAGAAAATTTTTAAGATATAGTTTGGCTGGCATTAATACTAAAAGGTAGACTATGAATGAACATATAAAACGAGAGTAAACCACTGGTTTAGCCAACTAAAATTTTTTATTCTTTATGGTAACTTACCTGGTAATTTACCAACATTTAGAGTAACTTACCAAGAAATTTATAAATTACGGTAATTTTACAACCCTGGTGATTGGGTTAAATAAAGTTTGAGCCAATAATTTGTGATTTAAAAATCAACTTTTTTTTCTTTGTCACTTTTTGCTTTAATTTATTCTACCGTTTCCGATTTGCGTAATGAAGTGGAAAACCTGATTTTTTGATTAGAAAATTTAAGTCCGGCTTATATAAATTTGTACCTGATTGTAACCTGATTATTTATAAATTTATATATGTATGCATCCAATTTGTGACCTAATTACTTATAAATTTTATATCGATATATGTACTTAATTACAAATTTCTGTTCATATATACACCTGATTACTTAAAATTTTATTTTATTATTAGAGCACAAAAAACGGTTTCATAAGCGAAATTTTGAAGTAGTCTTGCCGATACGTACTAGGGTGATACGTGTCAATTAGATTTTTAAAATTTTTTTTTTCAAGGTGACCTCGAGCTTTTATTAGGGATTTTAAATTTTTGAACGATAAAATTATTTTTAGATCTGTTAGGAAAGTTAATTTCATGTTCAACTTCATGTTCGACTTTATTTATTCAATGGTTTAGTCAATTAATATAATTTTTATTTTTTAAAAACGAATATCTTATATGAATTTTACATAGATAATAATTTGATATAAATCAAACAAAACTAATACAATTTTAAATTACATATCAAGAATATCATTAACAGACCATTCTTCTTCTACCAGCTGGTCGCTTCTTTCTGCACCAGTCTGGGGTAAAAAATCAGTAAGAGCTTCTTGATCTCTTTCAAACGCTGCAATATCGAAGAATTCTTCTATAATAGAAATTTCTTTTTGCGCTATTACCACTTCTAGTTCTTCATTTACATCAATCTGTTCACCTTCCTCTTGTTCATCATCAAAAAAAATGTCAACGTTGTCATCATCCTGAATTGAAGATTCAGAAACAGCTTTAGGCTTTCTGTTCTTAGTGGGTATAGCTTTTTTTAGTTCAGTTTGAAGCTGTCCAAGGATAGAAAGACTGTCGGGGGTTAATCTATTTCTCGCTTTTGATTTGACTATTTCAAGTAATGAAAAAAGTTGTTCACAGGTGGCTCTATGAGGGACAATAGCGAGGACCTTCATTGCAAAACGGCATAAGAGTGGTGCATTTCCAGTAAATTTGGTCCAAAATGTTCGTGGTAATTGTGAAGAAATGAAGGAAGACATATTATCAAAAGGGGGATCATTGTTTTTATAATTAATTAATTTGTTACATAGAAGTCCTGCATCTCTTTTGTTAAAATTCCAGATTCTAGCTAGTTCAAGCGAAGCATGAATAATATTCTCTCTATCCATTTTTCTTGATATGGCTACTTGTTTGTGTACTGGAGAAAGGAAAAGTGCAACAAAAAAAATGTCACTATCAAATTCTCTCGCATGTTTGGTAATAACTATGAGTGTGTGGGCTTTAAAGCCAATGATTGGAACCTCAAGCTGGGTTATTTGCTGGTGAATATTAATAAGTTCTTTAAAAATATCAGCTAAAGTTGAATTGCTTGATTCCAACTTTCCAATAGTGTCAACAACTGGTTTGATTACTTTTGTTATAATATCATTATTAGCAAAATGGTACCTATCATGAATGATATTTTTAACTGTAGTGTTATTAATTTCAAAATACGTAGGGTGTTCAGTTTCACTTAACAAGAGACAATGTCGAAAGCCTTCTTCATAGGCTGATACACCTATACAAACTTTGGCGAGCGAATACTATCTGGTTTCGCAGAATGTACTTAAAAAATGCTGAATATTATGCTCTTTTTGCCAAGTTTGTAGTGCTCGACGCCAGATGTGTGATGCATTAAAAAAGTTAACAATTTTTTGGTTTTTTTTACAAATGGTAATAGTATCAGAAAAGCTAATAATGTCTTTAACAATTAGATTAAAAACATGCAAGCAACAACGGATAGGAACTATATTAGGATGTTCTTCGTTAAGCAATCTCCTCATTTTGCCTATGTTCAAAGGGTTATCAGTGATACAAGCAATTGTGGATGACATTTTGATGCCATTTGTGTTTAAGACCTCTTGCACTTTATTTTTAATAAAACCTCCAGTATGGCGATGTGCAGATAAATCAAGAATATCAAGCACAATTTCTTGTCATTCTTTAAGGGCCATAAATCTGAATATTGAATTTCCAGAGATATCAGTCCATCCGTCGAGAGAGATAGTAAAGTCAGTAAAAGATGAAAGTGTACTAAGCTTTTCTTGAACATGGTTAGAAAACATTTTAGTTAAAAGATGTCCTTTAACCATATCACAAGAAGGAAGATGATAAGAAGGATTTAATTCTTGAAGAAAATCTTGCAAGTACGGATTTTCAACGAAGCGAAAAGTAAGATTTCCGTGGATAATAATCTTTAGGAATTTTTGATGAAAATACTCTAATTGTGCCTGGAACAGAGGTCGGATACACTAGCTAAGTATAGTTTCTTGGTGGGGCTTAGGTATAGAAGACCATTGTGCAATATCATCATTTGCTTGTTCATTTGTTTGCTCAATGATGTGTTATCATCATCATGGGTACGTTTATGGGGTGCATGAGTTTCTTCACTAATTTTTTGAATATAAGAAGTTTTTTCAGAAACAGGCCAATTATTGCACTGAAGAACGTGTTGATGAAGTCTATCAGGCTTGCCACTTAGCTCAACCAAACAGTGCTTGCATTTCGCAGTATATCTATTTCCAGCTCTGGTTCTTTTCATTACAGAATGATAAAAACTATTCTAGCGATAACCTTTTGTTGGAAGTGGCAAAGCAAAACCAGTAGAAATATTCATGATATAATAATTTTCTTAAAAAAGTAGAGACTTAATTTGAATTTAAAATTGTTAATAGGATGGATAATTTAATTATAATAATAATAATTTGTAGTTATTTATGCGTAATGAATTTAATATAATGTAAATCAAAAAAAAGTTTTTAATACAAGAGAACGATTTAAATTTTTTTATTTAGTAGACAAGTTGAATTGTAAAGTTTATTTAAAGTTAAAAAGTACAGTTTAAATACATTTTATAATGATCTAAATTCTATATATTATGATTCCTTTTTTTTTATAACTATTCTCAATATTTCAAACTTATGCTTAATCACGCAATTATTTTTCGCGCAGACCTGCTTAGCTTTGGCTGCATAATTTCTTTTTACAACCTACTTACAATATCATGTAATTATGTTTTTTGTCCCAATCGCTTTACTTGGCTTTGGCCACATAATCTCTTTTCTTCGCAGCCTATTCATAATATCTTATATACTTTTCTAACTTGACCCATATCAATCTAGTGGCTTTGATCGCATAATCCCTTTTCTTTACAACCTATTCACAATAATATACTTTTCTAGCTTATAATTGTGTCTTCCACATCAATCCAGTTGGCTTTGATCGCAAAATTCCCTTTAAAATCTCTAATACATTTTCTAAGCCTATTTCAAATTCTAGTCATGCGATTATATTCCTGTGTTAACCTGTTGGCTTAGACTGTACAATCCAAATTAGGAATGAATTCAAAATGTATGATTAATTTAGGGAAGGTTTAGATTAACTAATTTTAGAATCATATATTGTTAGTCTATTCTTTTAAAGATTTTCTCTGCGACCTTCATCCAATAGTGGCTATGTACTAAATAATAAACTATAAGAGATAAAGAACATACAAAATAACAATAAAAAAAAACCTGTTGTAAGAAATGTTAAATCTGGATTTAATAATTAAATCTAGATTTAATGATTAACGTTAAATCTGGATTTAATAATTAAATCTGAATTAATGATTAAAGATTTATTACAGCTATTTTCATTATTCCTAGAACACCTGATTAAAAATTAGCTGAGTGATTAACTATCTGATTCGATAAAGCTTTGATTTTGGTATAATTATTATATATCGATATATTATAAAGATGCAAACATTAGAAGGTCTAAGATTGTTGATTCTTTATGTCTACAGTATAAATTTTAGGTAGTGACATAATATGTCATTGCTTTTTGTTAACGATAATAATGTCTGCAAACCTTAATAATAGATAATGGGAATTATTATTATTAAGTCTATCGATATTTTATTTATCTTTAATGCTATTATAATCTCTGTTAAATATGAACTTTCTTTGGAAAAAAAAACTTGAAAAGGCGAGTTACATTATTTTAAACAAGTCAATAAATTTTTGATCAAATCGAACTTTTTTTATCACTTATTTGTGCAATGTATTTAATATAAAAGTCTATCTTTTACTATATTTGTTTTTTTTTTTATTGTCAATTGGTTGATAAAGAACAGTTCTTTGCCATAGGTTTTCTTTAAACTAAACACACAAAACATACTAGACAGGCATTCAAGTTTTTGTATTGATTAACTTATTTACAATTTTCTCTTCGAAATACAGTACAATTATATCTATTTACTGTATATACTAATAATTAATGATATCAATAATGCTGAAATCAAAACTTTATCGAATCAGATACTAATCACTCAGCTAATTTTTAATTAGGTATCCCAGGAATAATGAAAATAGCTGTAATTATATTCAGATTTATTTTGTTAGTCTTTACCATAAATTTTTGTACAAACTAAACATATCATATATATTGGATTAGGCGAAAATTTAATAAAGGTGTTAAAAGAGTTGACATTACGAATTTAATATAATATTGATCAAACAATGTAAAATTTTTATATACAAATCACACTATCGATTTTGGCTGAGTAAACTTCAGCAAACTTTTTTAGAGTGGCCCAGAAATTATAAAACAGCTGTAATCCAGAATGTATATCACATAGGGGCATAAGAAAATTTTTAGGCATGCTTCTAGGGGCATGCTCTTACCAGAGGCATGCCTTTTAGTTTAAAGGCATGCTCAGGGGCATACCCAAGGGGGGCATGCCTATAGACTCTGTGCCTTCTACTCTACGTCTAAAGTGGGGCAAATTCACATGATCATAGCCAATTAAATTATAGAATTTTGATGATCACCAGCGAAGCAAAGCAAGAAACAAAAACGAAAAACCTAAAAAATATAAAGAACTGCAGTCTAAATCTATCTCAGGTAGGTTAAGTAAAAATGTCAGGAAGGCAATTTTGCTTATATATAATTACCTAAAATCTAACTTAATTCTAATTAATATAAGATGACCCTAACCCTAACATTAATCAAAAAATTTATTAAGAAATACATATATGAGTTGCTCCTCAAAATAAGGTATCTATGTACTGATCTTTGCTACTATACATATATATTATATATATCATTTTTATTTCTTCTAACAATTAATGTTAATTTTCAGCCTAAAAAAGCAAAAAACAATAATTTGTCTTTATTATTTTTTATTATATAATATCATATATATATTAACATACAGAACATTTTTTAATAAATAAAGCTTAATAGCATAAATATATTTAGATAATAGCATATGGAAAAACTTAAAAAAACTAGTATAATAAATTTAACAAAAATAGAAAATAACAAGAAAAAAATATTAATTAAAAAATCCTAATAAGCAAGTTTTACAATAAAAAAACTTGTCTATAGTTATAAAAACAAATCTATTTGTCTTTTTTACAATTTCTATTATCTTTTCTTTGTTTTCTTTATATTGATATAATTTTTAATACAGATCTACATTAATATCTTTAAAATTGCACTAACAGACAAAAGCTCTTTAATATATCTAATTCATTTTTTGGCTTCTTCTTTAAAGGCAGAATAAAAAATATAAACTTTTAAAGCTATTAAATAAAACTTTTTTTTTTTGTTTTTATGCTTCTATAAAACTTTATTAAATTTTAGATAGAGTTATCTTTTCTTCTTTATTATTCTTTCTTTTTAGTTTCTGAATAATTGGCTAAAAATTTTTTTATCAATTTTTTATTAGTTTATTTTTCTTTGTGATTAGAAGTTTAGTAACTATTTTATTATGAAAAATTCATCTTAAACAGTAGAAAGTTAGAGTCTACTTTATATCTTTTTTTTTTTTTTTAATATTAAGGTAAGGTTTTGTCTTTATCTTTTTGAAATTTGTATAAGATTTTATAAGAAATTTCTCAAAATTTATAAATTTGTTTACAAAAATTAAGACTTAGATTATAAATAGTAAACTATTATAAACAATAAACTATCTAATTTATCTACAATCTAAACCTACCAAAGTGGTTAAAAACTCATTTAGATTTGAATATTTATAATTGTATTAGATGAATAACTATATCTAGCCTACAAAGTAGACCAAATTTGAATTTTGTATTATGCTAGTCTAAGTAAAGAATATGAGTTATTATTATTATATAGTTAGTCAAATTAACTATATAAATATATATATATATAGCCTATTTTAAAATAACTTGAATGTAGTAATTGTTATAAGTGAAAAGTTTGTTGAAGATAATTTGAAATATTGTTTTGAGTTTTTTATTTAGAGAGTAAGGCTTTCAAATTTGTTCATAGATATTGTTAGAAAGTTTGATTAAGAATTGAGAGATGAGCTTAGAAGCTATATTATATATATTAGTATATATAGCTAGTAGTTCAATAAATGAAAGCAAAATAAATTTTTGAAAGATAGTTTTGATTATTAGAAAGTTTTGAAAAGATTGTTAGTGTTGTAAAGAAAAATAAGAAGTTAGTTAGTTATGTAATTCTTAAATTATTTGAGAAAAAAGATAAAGTAATAAAGATATAAAGAAGTTTTGAATTATTTGTAATATTAAGATATGTATAGAAAGATTTTTAGAGCAAAAAACTAATATTAAAAGTTTTTCTGAGTATTGCAAAAGATGTAGTTGTTATATAAGAAGATATTTAGATAAAGTTAATAGTGATATTGTTATAAAATAGGTTTTAGCATATTTTTTAATAATTATATTTTTATATTATTATATATATTTAAATTTAGTTATTATTATTTTTTTTTAATAACTTATTAGCTAAAGATAGATTTAAGTAATACCATTAGACTCAGATAGATTAGATCTTTCAAACAAACTATAAATCATATTTGTAAAATATTTAGTTCTTGAGTTACTTTAAAAATAACTTTAGTATAACTATAATTTTTACAATTTCTACAATTTTTATAATTTTTACAATTTTTACAATTTTTATAATTCTTACAATTCTTATAATTTCTACTAATATTGTAAAAGCTATATAAACTCTAACTTTTTCCTTCCTATAAAATAAGTTCTGTATGCAGTTCTAATAAGTTCTGTATAGTTCTAATTAATACAGTTTTCTAATAAAGTTCTAAGTTCTCTACTAGTTCTTTAATAAATATAATCTTTTGACTTTAAAAATAAACTTTTCTAACAAACTACTATAGTAATATAATATTCTATTTGAACACTATTAAGAGCCCTCTTCTATGTTTTATATTATTTATATTGTATTAAGAAAGCTAATACTTGTAACATTTTGATATCTTTTAATGGAAAGCCAAAATTTTCTAGCAGAAAATACAAAAAAAAACTCTCTTAGAAATAACTTTTTTTTTATCTAAAAAAGCCTCTCTTTCTTTTTTTTGCTAATCTCCAAAATCAAAGAAGCCTCTCTCTCAATTTCTTTAATGATTCTAATTTATATTATACAAACTCTAAGAAAGACTCATAGTATTCTAGCAACAATTTATATTATACAAAACTTAAATACAATTCTCTAAACCTAAAAATACCAAGTTGATATAATATAACTTTTACAAAAGTATAT